TATCTTCAGATTTGAAAAGTTTATTTAGCAATTTAATGTGTATGTTTACTCTTTCATGTTCAATATTTGCAGATATTGTAAAATTTTAAAGATTTGAATACACAAATATAGCTGAGATAGTATAATTCTCTTTAATACTACAACATTAACATATGCATTATAATTAAGAGTACATGATCCAACAAATTGGGTTTTTAAGCAATAAATCTACATTAAATATGAGGATGACTTCTTGCTGTAAGTCTCAGAAGTGAAATATTGATTCTAATAATGTTATTTAAATAAAGTTATATTTACATTAAAATTACAATTACTAATGCTTCTTATTTTTATTTTCATATAATAATTCATATTTATTGAATGTAATGAATATCTACAGTTAGAAATTTTTACATTAAAGGGTGAAGTTGGTTCTCCTGGACCTGTTGGTTTACAAGGTCCACCAGGTGTTCAAGGTGATAAAGGACCTCCTGGACTTCAAGGAATACAAGGACCTCCTGGTCCAGTAGTATGTATTAAAATTTACTGATTTTTTCTATCAGATTGTTTATTATATAATAATTAATAATTTTTTTATCATTCCAACTTCATATGGATATTAAAAATATTAAATAGAATTAAAAATTTTCTACATAAAATGTATCCAATAAATTATACACTCTCTTAATAATGAAATTAGTTTCAGTTAATAAATTTCTAATTTGCTTAAAATGATTTGATATTTAAAATTATTTTTTAAATTTTATTTTAGGGAACTCCTGGTACTCCTGGACCAAAAGGAGATCAAGGTATAGTTGGTTCAAAAGTAAGTAAATATAACCTAATTTTGTTGTAAATATTTGTTTTGGAAATATAAATTAATATATGTCTACACTATTTATATTATATTAAATATTATTAATATTTGTATTTATTTTAGGGTGAAAGAGGTGATCAAGGTCTTTCTGGAAGACCTGGAGAACCTGGATTACAAGTAATTAAAAATATTCTACTTATAGTTATATAATATTTATAATTGTAAATTGTAAAATAATTTCAAATTTTTCAATATTAAATATATGAAGAATAATATCTACAGTACAAATTAATTTTATGTTTAAATAAAATTTTAATTAATCTGAATGTTTATCAACAATATTTTTTACATAACTAATAAGATATATTTACAAATAAACATTTACTTTCATATAATATTAAAAAATGAGTAGAAAATTTTAAAAATTACACATTTTTCTGTAATACAGCTATTAATCTAACTGAACTCAAAATATATAAAATCAAATTGCTTTAAACAATTATGAATTTAAATTGTATTTCTAATAATGATGTCTTTCTTAAGACAAATATTTTATATAAGTATTCATATACCTTTTAAATAATTTATTACATTAATGAAGTTTAAAATTCTTATATGAAAACAAATAATTTTGCATTGTAAAATATTTTAAAAAGTTTTAGTTGTTTTAATTTATAGTTCTTTTATAGAGAAAACACAAAAGAATGCAAATTATATTAAATTTAAATGTAAAATCTAACTTTATAGTTTTTTATATTAAAAAAGATTAATTTTATGATAGGATTTGAATTTCTTAAATTTTATTAAATTCTCCTGCAAGTAAATTTAATAATAGTAAACTGTACTAGTATTTAGCAAAACTGATCACTTTTTATTAAAAATCTATTAATTAATCAAAACATTATTAACTAATTTTCTTAAGTGCTTTCAAATGACAGTAATTCTGTATTTTAATATATTTTATAAGATTTAAATATATATGAATTTATTTTAAATAATCTTGAAAATTAGTAATTAAAATAAGTGTATAAATTTGGAACATTTTAAATTAATAGTTAATTACACATTTATGAAAAAATACTTTATTAATAGGGTGCAAGAGGTATAGCTGGTGCAAGGGGAGCACGAGGAGAAGAAGGGAAGAAGGTATAAATAAATTCTAGATTAATTAATTTTTATAATCATAATAATTTTAAGAATAATTTTTAAATTTAAGTCTACTAATATAAAAACGTTAACTTACATTTAATATTTTAGAATTAAATACATTAATTTCATGAAGTATTTATGTAATTTATAATTTTTTTCATAAAATAAAAAGTAATGTCAAATAACATTATTGGCTTATTCTATATTCTTTTAAATACAATAGAAAAGAAAAATTATAAGTGAGATTTTAATCACATTTATATTATTTTTATATAGGGTGATGCAGGATTTCCAGGTGTACCAGGTCGTCCTGGGAATGCAGGACCTCCTGTAAGTTCATTATCTTGTACAGTAACTAAATTTATAATTAAATTTAATTTTAATTAAATAATGAATTTAAAGATTTTAATATTTTGAAATTTGGAAAAATAAGATAACAACAAATTTAAATTAAAATATTTAAGTATTTAAGTAAAATTTCTTCATTTTAAATGAATTATTATTCAAAAGATTACTTTTTTGAAATATAAAATAAATAAAATTCATTCATTAATTAATCAAAAATATTTTTATACTTTAATAAATATTTTTAAAATTATTATAATATATTCTTTCAAAGGGAAAAGATGGCTTTCCAGGTGTGACAGGTCCTCCTGGCAGAGATGGACTTAAGGTAATTGAATAATAATTTTAACAGTAGTATTTTTCAGAAATTTGTTACTATTGAATCTGTATTATTTTTATTTATTAGAATTAATTATAAAGAATGAAAATTGACTAATTATTTATTTGAAAATTTAAAGGGTGCACAAGGAGATTCTGGTAGGCCAGGTCCACCAGGTCCACCTGGTCCTCCAGGATTGGCAGGTCTTCCAGGAACAAAAGGAGATGTTGGGCAAGAAGGACATACTGTAAGTAACATTTATATTGAATTCAATTCATTTATAGAAGACATTTGAGTTCCAGAAAGTTTAAAGAAAGTTTAAGTTTAAAAAACACTGATTATTGTACAAAATTAAAATTATGTGTCATCTGTTATGATGTTTCATTAAAATGTTATTTTTATATTATTAATTATTATAAAAAGGCAAAAGGCTTAATTTTGAAAGGGAGATGTAAAAGATTGCAAATGCTAATAACTAGTAAAATTTTTATTATGTCCAACCCTACTCAAGATAAGGCACATGAACCCCCTTTATCTCTCCATACCCTTGACCTTTAACCATCAAAATTTAATATCATCAATGCTCCATATTAGTGGTGAACTCAGGATTTACTCTTGGGGGCCAAGTTGAATGAATAAAAAATTTTTAACAATAAAATTCCCATCTTATGTGACTGCTAATTCATAAGTATTATATAAATAGAAGACACCACAGAATAAAAATAAAAAACTGAATTTTAACTAGGAAAAGATTTTTGGAAAATTTTCTACTGTTTGTTTTCCTTTTTCTTTGGATGGGGCCAGGGCTCCTTAGCTCCCAGGTGTACCACCACTCCATATATAGATATAACTCTTCCAAATTTCAAAATTTTAGGGTCATTCAGTCCTGAGATAAAATGCAAAATATCAACAGACATAGACAAACACACTTGCAGAATTTTAAAAGTTGTGTTTTTACATTTTTGCACTCTTTGAGTGTCAAAATATTAAGAAATGGAAAAAAAAAAAAAAAAATTGGCAGGATCAAAATTTGACTGATCACCATACTTTCCCTATGTTATATTCTGACAGGAAATTAAAAATATGATAAATTTTTTCATATTCTCATTTATGAATGTATTATTTTTTTAATGACTTTTTTATTAAAAAAAAATAATACATTCACTTCTGCACTTCTTCAGAGCAAAATTGTTTACAATTTAATATATTTTAAATTAACTTAAAATATTTACTACAAACATTTCAAAATTATTTTTTCCTGTTAAGGTTAGATAACTTTGAAAATTTCTATCAGGTGTTTCAGAATGTTTTTAATAAGTGATAAATATTTTTAGGGTAATAATTCCATCACTACTAATACTTTGGTAAAATTAATCTATTATAACAATTATTAAGAACAAAAGAACATAAAAAACAAATATACTCTTTCATTTTATGGCATATATGACACATGGTCATATAAGACACATGGTCATATAAGATGACCACTATTTTAGCATAGAATATTTAAAAAAAAGTATTTAGTGTATTCAATTAAGTTCTCCAAACCTTTGGCCCTAAAATTTCTTTACAGTATTTTGGCCAAAATGAGTAAAATAAGAATGTACACTTTTATTTATTAGGTAAAAAGAGGAGTTTAAAAGAAGTAATTTACAATTAAATTTTTCCATTCATTAAAATATTCTGCATGAATACATTGCAAAAGCTGCTTAGCTGTAACAAAAACTAATGAAATTAATAATAATATGTTTAATTAAACAATAATATTTTTATTCAAGAGTTGTGCTAGGTAGTAGTTACTTGTAGCCTGCCACAGGCCTTTTGCAATGTATTCAATGACCTTCTNATTAGACTGGCATTTTTAACAGCAAAACAAGATTTTTCTCAAGGTAATAAAATACGCACGAACTTATGGACTGACCTGATACTTGGTTGTTCCCATTATGGGCTTGGCCCAACACAAAAGGTCCTCTAATGCCCATGGGACAGAATATGTTTATAAAAATATATTTAATAGTAATTCCTTTGCTTATTTTTAATGTATGTATGCAGATGTGTGTGTTTAATAAAAATATATAATTTCTTGTTAGGGTTTACCGGGAAGAAGAGGAGATGTTGGACCCGCTGGTCCAAAAGGTGATAAGGGAGAAACTGGTTTAGTTGGCCCTGCTGGACCCTCTGGCAGACCAGGAGATCAAGGACCACCAGGCTTGTCAGGACCAATAGGACCTCGTGGAGAATCTGGTGATAAAGTAAGTTTTACAGTCTTTCAAATAAAAAGATTATAAATGTAATTTTTATAATTTGAAATATATTATGAAAACATAACCAAACATAGAATTAATATATATTTTATTTATCTCTTTCATGAATAATGAATATGTAAAATGAAAATTTGATTAATAATAAATTATTGTTTTTTTTTTAAATAATATTTTATTAGAGATTATAAAGTTTAAATAATTTATAATTTAAAATTATTCATATGTCATGTAATATTAAATGCTAATGTCCTGTGTAGGTAGAAATCTAAAAGTTTTTAACATTATTTATTATGTAATAAACCATGCCTGAGTTAATCAAATAATTTTGGTATATTTAATCAAATAATAAATCCAGATTGATAATTTGATTAGTAACATTATTTATTATTTTTTATCCTTTAGTTTTGTTTGGAGATTTTTAATCTGCTTTAGAGTCTGCTTTTTATTTTTAATTGTTGTTTAAATCTATATCAAATATTTAAAATATCTGCATTAGTTGTCAGATTATATGACAAAATATTTTTTTCAAAAACTAATACTGTTTTTTAATTCCCTTGACATAATATTACTTTACGCTTATATATTTGTTCATCTCATAGTGCCATATCAGGTTTTCCTGACCTCGGCCACACCCGGCGCAGATTAGTAATGCGCCAAGGTGTTACTAGGGAAGGGTACAATCCAGAGTGGTTTCCCGTTGCCTTCTCTGGGGCGCGATTTTGCGCGAGGGGATCAAATGCCTTCCAGGAGGACTTTTATGGGGAACTGGCCTCCTATTTAGTCGTTATTGGCAAGGAGAAAACCCGGAAAACTCCAAGCAGCCAGCCTGTCCGATCGCGGCGTGAACCCACGACCGAACTCCCTGTGTTTAGGGTACGAAGACCATTCGGCCACTGGTGGGCCATATATTTGTTAGTAAATTTAAAATAAGAGTCTCTCTCTATTGTTAAATACAAATACAAATTGCATAAAATAACACTTTTGTAACTTAAAGTTTTCCAAAATAAAGTAATTTCTTATAAAATTCTTATTTTCAAAATAGTCCTTTTATAACTTAATATTAATTGAGAAATAAATGAGTTCTGCTTTCAGAAAAAAATATTTTAATAAATAGTTAAAACTGTTCAGTAAATATAGTCTGTTCAACAATAATAGAACATAGTGATTGCCTAGGAACTTGCTATTATTTTCATGTAACTTTGATGAAATTTGCTAGTACATTTTATAGCAAAATATTAACTATTATTTCCAACTTTATGGTTGCAGAAAGCAACCATAAAGTTGCTTTCTGAAAACAGGTTACCTGAAAGATTTTCTATGGGGATTTAATTTGCACTGAAGGATGCCCAGTCCAAAAGCCACATATTCTTGCACTGAAAAAGGATAATGTTGATTTTGAAACATGAAAGCTTGCATTGTCATGCATGAATTTAAAATCCTGTCTAGCAATTCTGTCTGGAGCTTTTGCAGACAACTCCTGATAAGTTTGAGAGTTAAACCAGATCTTTTTTATCTTAACAAAGTCTTATTTATTTTAGATTTAAGTATTTAAAATTTATTTTATGTTATGCAGTTAGCATCAAACTATCAAAATTAAGAGACTTCTAATGAAAGTTTCATATAATATTTTATTAAAATTTAATATTTACATTAAAAACAACATAAAATGTTAGAAAAATATGATTATTTAACACTAAGCAAAATATACATATTGTCATATAAGAAAGAAACACAAGTATAGGCATAATGATGATGATAATAACATGATGAAAAAAATAAAATGTCTTTATAAATAATTTCTAAACTGTAAATTTATTCATTCACTCAATCTGTAAAAGCTATATAAATTTTTGGAATAAGAAAAGGCTATCTATTCTATATAAATATATAATTGTTATCTTTTAAAATGAATGGTTTTAGTAAAATGTTGCCAAATTGATAGTGATCTGTCTACAAGAGATTTCAAATACTCAATGATTCATGTTTCCTGAATAACATGACATTCATCACATTATTATTGGAATCTGGAATGTGAAAATATAAAATTTGAAATGAATTTTGTTGCATTTTTTTTAAATCTTGAATATCATTCAAAGTCCTACCTTTACCTCATAGTTTTCTTCCCAAAAACTATCTTCAGATTTGAAAAGTTTATTTAGCAATTTAATGTGTATGTTTACTCTTTCATGTTCAATATTTGCAGATATTGTAAAATTTTAAAGATTTGAATACACAAATATAGCTGAGATAGTATAATTCTCTTTAATACTACAACATTAACATATGCATTATAATTAAGAGTACATGATCCAACAAATTGGGTTTTTAAGCAATAAATCTACATTAAATATGAGGATGACTTCTTGCTGTAAGTCTCAGAAGTGAAATATTGATTCTAATAATGTTATTTAAATAAAGTTATATTTACATTAAAATTACAATTACTAATGCTTCTTATTTTTATTTTCATATAATAATTCATATTTATTGAATGTAATGAATATCTACAGTTAGAAATTTTTACATTAAAGGGTGAAGTTGGTTCTCCTGGACCTGTTGGTTTACAAGGTCCACCAGGTGTTCAAGGTGATAAAGGACCTCCTGGACTTCAAGGAATACAAGGACCTCCTGGTCCAGTAGTATGTATTAAAATTTACTGATTTTTTCTATCAGATTGTTTATTATATAATAATTAATAATTTTTTTATCATTCCAACTTCATATGGATATTAAAAATATTAAATAGAATTAAAAATTTTCTACATAAAATGTATCCAATAAATTATACACTCTCTTAATAATGAAATTAGTTTCAGTTAATAAATTTCTAATTTGCTTAAAATGATTTGATATTTAAAATTATTTTTTAAATTTTATTTTAGGGAACTCCTGGTACTCCTGGACCAAAAGGAGATCAAGGTATAGTTGGTTCAAAAGTAAGTAAATATAACCTAATTTTGTTGTAAATATTTGTTTTGGAAATATAAATTAATATATGTCTACACTATTTATATTATATTAAATATTATTAATATTTGTATTTATTTTAGGGTGAAAGAGGTGATCAAGGTCTTTCTGGAAGACCTGGAGAACCTGGATTACAAGTAATTAAAAATATTCTACTTATAGTTATATAATATTTATAATTGTAAATTGTAAAATAATTTCAAATTTTTCAATATTAAATATATGAAGAATAATATCTACAGTACAAATTAATTTTATGTTTAAATAAAATTTTAATTAATCTGAATGTTTATCAACAATATTTTTTACATAACTAATAAGATATATTTACAAATAAACATTTACTTTCATATAATATTAAAAAATGAGTAGAAAATTTTAAAAATTACACATTTTTCTGTAATACAGCTATTAATCTAACTGAACTCAAAATATATAAAATCAAATTGCTTTAAACAATTATGAATTTAAATTGTATTTCTAATAATGATGTCTTTCTTAAGACAAATATTTTATATAAGTATTCATATACCTTTTAAATAATTTATTACATTAATGAAGTTTAAAATTCTTATATGAAAACAAATAATTTTGCATTGTAAAATATTTTAAAAAGTTTTAGTTGTTTTAATTTATAGTTCTTTTATAGAGAAAACACAAAAGAATGCAAATTATATTAAATTTAAATGTAAAATCTAACTTTATAGTTTTTTATATTAAAAAAGATTAATTTTATGATAGGATTTGAATTTCTTAAATTTTATTAAATTCTCCTGCAAGTAAATTTAATAATAGTAAACTGTACTAGTATTTAGCAAAACTGATCACTTTTTATTAAAAATCTATTAATTAATCAAAACATTATTAACTAATTTTCTTAAGTGCTTTCAAATGACAGTAATTCTGTATTTTAATATATTTTATAAGATTTAAATATATATGAATTTATTTTAAATAATCTTGAAAATTAGTAATTAAAATAAGTGTATAAATTTGGAACATTTTAAATTAATAGTTAATTACACATTTATGAAAAAATACTTTATTAATAGGGTGCAAGAGGTATAGCTGGTGCAAGGGGAGCACGAGGAGAAGAAGGGAAGAAGGTATAAATAAATTCTAGATTAATTAATTTTTATAATCATAATAATTTTAAGAATAATTTTTAAATTTAAGTCTACTAATATANCAATGTCGAATGAAAAGAAAGGACCGTCATTAGAAAGGAAATTTATTAATATATCTCTTCAAACAAAGATAGAAATTTTGGATTGAGTTAAAAATCAGGAGTGGATAGCTGATATTGGTAGGCATTTTAATTTAAATGAGTCAACTATTCGGTCGATTAAGCAATAGGAAGAAAAGATTAGGAATTCAGTCACATCCAGATCATCTATTCTTGCGAAAAATGCTGCTCGTCTGAGAGCACCTATAATGAAAACAAAAATGGAACAAATGCTAATATTATGGGTAGAAGATATGAACAAGAAACGGTTGCCTTTAAATAAAAGTGCACTTAAACACAAAGCCTTAAAACTATTTGATTATTTAAAAAAAATGGGACAGTCGTCGGCTGATGAAACCAGTGTTAAATTTGTGGTTAGCAATAGCTGGTTTGAAAAATTCAAAAAACGCCATTCAAACGTCAAGTTTTTCTCTTTTTAGAACCGAATCCCAGTTTTTGCATTAAGTTGGTGTCTCCTATAACGCGATTTCCCACAACGCGGTATTTTCAAGGAACGTATCTACCGTGTTGTAGGAGGCCTACCTGTATTATATATTTAACACTGTCAAGAAAGCTGTAAAAGCCATTAAAGTGAGGAAAGCTCCTGATGTGAAGACCTTTAATATTAATTCATTTAACCAAACATTAATAATTTATCAAATTCTATTAAGAAGTTAACTACAATAATCATTGAAATGAATGATTAGAAAGTTTTTAGGAATTCGAATTACTAAAAATTACTGGCATGGTTTCAAAAATACTAGAAAGTTTTTGCTAAAATTTTTATTATTAATACTTTAGATTAATTAGCTAACCTATTCAATAGTGTTAATATATATATATTTTTTTTTTTTATTGTTTTGTGTGATGTTGCAATATCTTTAAAAAAGAAACACTGTTTTCGATTGGGCTGCAATTTTCAAATTGCAGACCTCTAAATTCCAGCTGGTGTCCAACTGACTGTTTGTCCTTTTGTTTAGTCTTGAGAATGGAGTTAGATGAAATTTGAGACTAGATATGGAAAGCTTAGTGGCAAGAGACATCGATTAACTACCTACAAACTTCTGGTTTGGAATGGAAATCACATTGTTTCAATTCAAAAATTTTTCCCAAAATGGAGTTTAATAGATGATCAACATGACTCCATTGTTAAAAGGAAAAGTATGATATAAAGAGGCAAGAGATTACTAAAATCAAAGCCTATATTTTAAATAAAATAAATAAAAAATATGATTAAAAATTGCAGCCCAACACTGTGACAATGTCACAATAAATGATTGCTTGTTATCTTGATAGTTTTCAATGCTTGAATCACGGACATCTCACATTACCTGATGTTTTTTGATATATTTATTTTAACTTGAATTTTACAATTATCATCTTTGTGAATAACTTACTGATTGGTATTATTTTGAATATTAATTAAACTTATTTTATAAATTATTAATCCTAATACTAAATAAATTACTATACTAAAGTAATTTCAGAATATGATAAATTATTGTCCATTCTACAAAATTGTAATAAAATTTTTCGAAAATGATTCTATTAGAAGCATTTTTGTAAAACTTTATTATTAGTTTGTAGATTTTGTAGATTGTGTTATTACTAAATAAAGTGCATATTATGGTAATAGAATTAAAAATTCACACATAAAAACAAATGTTTTACTTTAACTGTATTTTTAAAAAGCCTGTTTAGAAAATTGTTAGCTAAATGTTAGGATTTTTCAAATGCTTAAAAAAAAACAAAATATTTATTATTTAATAATAATAATAATAATAATTGAAATTTATACAGGAGAATCAATAATAATAATAATAATTTTATATTACAGTATAAGACAATAAATCAGCATAAAAAGCAGTATGGAGTGTGATTCACTAGTAGTATCCATTGCTTGTAAGATAATTGCAATATAATCTATCAAATAGATCATGTTAAATGTAGAAATATATAGGAAAATTAAAAAAAAATAATGAATTGGGACAGAATTTGATTCCATAATCCTTATTTAATAAGTGAATAAATCTATACTAATATTATAAAGAGGTAAAGTTTGTAAGTTTGGATGTAGGAGGTAATCTCTGAAACTATTCATCCAATTTCAAAAAATTCTTTCACCAATATTTACAATGGACCCTCAGGGTTGACATAGGCTGTATATTATTCCGTTAAACATTCATATAAATTAAAAAGATATCATCTAGGTAAGCGTTATATTTTTGGTGTCAGTGGGTGGCGAGGGGCATATACGAGATAGGTAACCATGTGCGAGATATGCAGTGCACGTGTCCAAACTTGTGATATATAAAATTACATGTCCTGACTGATTCATCATTGCCCAGAGCAAACCGCTGAACCTAAAGAGATGAAATTTGGTACACAGTTAGGGTACGTCATGAAAATGCACACTATGAAGGGATTTTTTGAAATTCCCCCGCGGGGGGAGAGGGAGAGGATTAAGGATTAACCTGAAGAACGTCTTCTACTGTACTATTTTAGATGCAATTTTTTGTTTTTATATTAATAACTAATGTTGAGAATCTTAGTGAAGTATCGAGGGGAGGGTTATTTCTATCAAATTGCAAATTCTGCACAGGTGAAGCCGTGAGTAACAGCTAGTTGCTAGATAAAGAATAAAGATAAATATTAAATAACTATATATAATGCATATGACATTGCAAAAACAGATTATGATTGATGAATACGGTTTGAAAATTTTTAGGCAGGATGGAATCATATTTAACAATGCAATAAATAACTGTCATTATCTAAAAGTTAATTAAATTTATTTAAACTTGGATGAATCCAATTTGAAATATTTTGATTTTAAAAGAAATGTACTGTATTATATTAACTAATTTTCTTTTCAAATGTTCCAATGTATTATTCTATTCATTGTTTTTCTACATTTGCTACATTTATTTTGAAGTTGAGAAATATATAATAGGTTTTAGAAGAATTTATTTTATTATAACAGAAATTTTGAATTATTAAAAGTATTTTTTTGACTTTTATTAACATTAGAAAATAGCTTTATTTTGCTTTCTTTGTTTTGTCATTTTGGTGTGTTCTTTTTTCATATTAATTGAAATATAGTTTTATTATAGAAAAGTACAAATTTTTTAGGTTTGTATATTGTTAAACAAATTAATATATTAAATTCAATGTAAGTGATTTTAAAACAATAGTTAAATTTACCTAAATAAAATTTTTGCCTTAATGAAAGAAAATTTTGCTTATGTAGAAACACAATTAGTTTTTATTTTATTTCTGTTTATATTATTTATTTTATATTTCATAAAATTCTTAATATTTTACTTTTTTATTCTTTAAAAAGGGAGAACGAGGAAGTGAAGGTAAAACAGGATCTAGTGGATTACCTGGACCTCAAGGTATTCCTGGACAATCTGGGCCACCAGGCTTACCAGGTGAACCTGGGTCTCCTGTAAGTATTTTATTGTATTTGGGTAAACACTGTAAAAACTAATAATTTGAATGAAAGAAGTTCTGTGATTTAAATTAGAATTGATATTAAAAACATTTCAGTGTCTACTGTTTTAAGTTTAAAATTAATTTTTCTCTGTTACTAATGTAATACAATGGTGATGTTTTTTCATATTTTGATACTTATATTTGATTAAATTTTAAATTCTGATCAATAAGTAGATTTAAAAATAGTATTTAAATCGAATTATATTATTTGTAGGGACATTCTGGTAAAGATGGTCCACCTGGACCTTCTGGTCGTCCTGGTGATAAAGGACCCCCTGGACCTCCAGGTCCTCCAGGACAAGCTGGATTACAAGGACTTCAAGTAATGAATAAAAATTTTAAGATTTAACTATTTAAATGTATCTACATACATAAATTATGGAATTTTAAGATGAAAAGATGTATTTTTTAAAAAGTTATATTAATATGTTGTTGAAGCACAACAAAATTAACAAGCCAAATCTTTTGTTCAAAAGCATTTTATTTAAAATATTTAGCTTATTTAATAAGGTTTTATCTTGTCCATAAGAAATTTTAATCAGAGCAGATATACTTGATTTACTTTCTTTTAACAGCTCTAATGCTATATCTTATTAAGTGTGTGATTTCATTTAAGTAACAAGTACATTATAGTAACAAGTACATTTACATTTAATTCAAGTCAAGTTTAAACTAAATATAAATATAATAGAATCCTTATTAATGATCACTTATTTACTCAAGATTTTATATTATTTAAGGTGAATTGTGGAAGAGTACTTTGTCAACAAAGATAATAGATCGCACTATAATATAGTTTGCTTCACACATCTTGATTTGATGTGCAGTACTCTAAGAGGACTCTAAAGCTTTTAAAGAGGATTTAATTTGATGACTTCTCACATTAATATTAATTTTAAAAAAGATTAAAGAAATTTTAATTATAATTGTAGGTTTACATTTGTTTTAAGAAGCATAATTATAAATAAAATTAAAGATTTTTCTTTATTTTAAACTGTGTTTTCATTCTTTCTATTTTTCATTTCTAGAACCACAATGAAATGTTAATTAAAAGACACTGCACTTTTCAACATTCTTTTATTTAACTTTTTTATTAGTTGATGCATCAGTCAAAATGCATTTTGGGTTAAAAAATCTCTCTTCAGTTGATTCTGTAACTATGAAGTAATTTATTTTTAATCTGTTTTTATGTTTTCTAAAACCATTTGACATATTTTAATTTGTTGTCACAACTTTTTGTACAATTTAACAACTTTACCATTCCAGAAATTCCAACACTACTTTTCACAAATTTTATAAAATTACATTAAAATTTTTCTTCAGTTAATTCTAAAAATAAAAACATAGGTGGTAACAATGAAATAATTTATATTTATTTAAAAATCCATTTGACAAACCTTGATGTTAAAATTATTATACAAAAAAAACTGCAACTATTTATCCATTCTTGAGATTCTGACACTACTTTTCAGATTCTAAAGAACATTTAAAATTTCTTTAGATTAAATTAACCTTCTTTTTTCAAGACATAATAGCACCTTCTCTCTAAATTGTCATTCTTAATATTTCTGTAAGCCTTGCACAACACACCTTAACACCATCCTTATTTACATATTGTGACATCTTCATTTACATATTTCTTATCATCCACTAAGAAGATATACTAAATTTTCATTCAAGTATAAAGTTAAAATTCTATACACCATAAAATTTTATGGCATAATTGTATCATATTTTGAATTCCTAATATTTTTGAGAAAAATTGTTATAATTCTGATTTTTATAAATTGTAGGGACCTCCTGGACCTTCTGGACCACCAGGTCCAACTGGTGAAAGAGGAGAGAGAGGTGAGGTAGGGGCTAGAGGTCAGCAAGGACCACAAGGAAATAGAGGGTTACCTGGACCTACAGGTGCTACTGGTAATAAAGGAGAAAGAGGTGAAGCAGGTCAAACTGGACCCAAGGGTCACCGAGGCTTGATTGGCTTACAAGGTCTTCCTGGTCCTCCGGTAGTTATTCATATTTTCTTTTTAAATTAAAGATAGAATTTAAATAATTATTTATACATTAAAACCACTAATAGAAGTGAGTATAATCAAAGTAGTAATTCAATTTGAATTTAATTTGTCTATGTTATAGATTTGAAATACAGTGGGTGATCGGTTAACGAACATAATTTGTTCCAAGACTTTGTTTGCTATCCAAATTGTTTGTTAACCGATTATCGATTTACCATAGGTTCTATGGGAATTTGATTAATTTGTTCTGGAGACCCCCCAAAAAAAATATATACTTTCTTACTACATTTATTCATATGTAACAATAAAAATACATATGTACATGGTCTTGCATTTTTATTAGTCATGTTTTTTCCATTTGTGGGGGTTAAAGAATCTGTCCAATGTCGATTGCTTTTCTGTTTTCTTCATGATTTTTCAGAAGTAATTAATAGCATTGTAATTGTAGAGGTCCCTAGGCCTATTAACCTCAACCTGGTTTGGATGCCATTTTAAGACTGTTGTTCTGACATCCTCCCACTTCTTCAAAAGATCTTTAATAGCAGATATCAGCATAAATCTGCATTTTCAAAAAAAAACATAAAAGAATTGTTTCTGTCAGAAATATAAAAGGCTGGAATTACAAGGGAGAGTTTCAAAGTTTGGGGAAATACTATCCGATCAGTATATACTGGGTAGAACGTCAATGTTGACATCTCTCGCGCTCTGAAAAGTTTTGAATTGTTGCCTGAAGACAAAGGAAGACCAATCGGTATTTGTTATTTACGTCACTTCTTCTTGTGTTTGTTTAGTGAAGTGTTCGTTATCCGAACATGTGTTCATTGTCCGATCATAAAAATCTTTCACGAAAGTGTTTGTTATCCGATTTGTTCGTTAACCGATCTGTTCATTAACTGATCACCCACTGTATTAATTTTATATTTAATTGTAATTTATTGAATGAAATTATGGTAAAATTTTTAAAATTCTAGTAAGCTAGGTTTTATACACATCATGAGATATTATTTTAAATGTTTGTTAAAAATTTCATAAATAGATAGAAAAAGTTGTTAGACTTAGTGATTTTTTTTAAATTTGATAACTTAATTTCTAAATTAATTAATTACAAGATTTTATTATGCATTAATAATTACATTATGTAATAATAATTTGTAACTTAATGTATAAAGTTACAAAATATATTAAAAACTGATTAAACTTTTATAATGAAATTTTGAAATAGATAATGTTTTAAAAAAAAATCAAAAATTAATATTAAAAATGTATAAAATCAATAGTTAAAGATCGATATATTGAATATTTAATAAGAATTTTGATAGATGTAGATAAACCTAATTAAATTCATTGATTTCTTGTCTGATCATTTCCCAATTCTTTCTTTTGTAAAGATTAAAAAATAAGTTATTATTTGTAGAATAATTGTATAACATTCTAAAACTGCTTGTACTATATCAATATAAAATTAAGTTAGATAAGAGAAAAATTTATATATACCACATATATTTAATAGTTTATAAAATTTATATAATTCAAATTTAATAATGAATTATGTAATAGGGTGCTCGAGGTGATAAGGGAATGGATGGTCCTGCTNGAGTGATATTTTACATTTCATATATATATAAAATATACATATATAAATACACACCTTATGAACAATAATAATAATTAATTGATTTTTTAAATCACTATGTTAATAATAATTACAATATGTAATAAAGTAAAAATTAATTAAAACAGAATATCATTTGACTAGACTAAATAGTTATTGTTAATCAGGAAGACTTCTGCTAGAGCCTTATTTTATTTTAGAATCACATCATAATATATTAGTTATATCTAATAGAAAATAATATAGTATATTAAATATTAGCTCTTCATTAATGATTATAATAGGTTTGTAGTTTCAACCTTTTAGTTTAGTTATTTTTAATTGAATTAACAATAACTTAAAGGTCAAAACTAGGTCACATAAAAATTTAGTGAATTGGTAGAACTGTATGGTTACACTGATATAGTTGTGGAAATAAATAGTAACAGACTGAGATGGTTGGGGCATGTTGAGCAAATGTCAGAAGATAGAGCTACCAAGAAGATCTAATGAGGAAATCTGGGTGGCAGGAGATGTAGAGGAAGACTAGGAAAGTGATGGCTGGTTAACGTGGAGGATGATTTGAAGAAGATGAGGGTTGGTGTTTGAAGGAAACATACTGAAAATCGTCAAGATTGGGCTTTGATTGTCAGAGAGGCCAAGACCCTACATGGGCTGTAATGCCGAGGAGTAATAAAAATTTAGTACAATAAAGAACAATTAAAGAGCTAACATTCAATATCAAAATTTGAATTTATTTTTACATCTAAAATGTAAAAATAAATTAAATTACAACACTTGCAAAGATACTGTCCTATTAAATTCATGTGATTATTTTAAAATATTTATTTAATTATCTTAATTTGATTCAATAAATATTTTAAAATCAAGAATTATTATTATTTCAATATTATTTCAAAATAACTTTTGAACAAGCTGTAGATATTTATTTGAAAAATTTAAGAACAATTTTAAATTAAATTGATAAAAGAATTACTGTAGTATTAAAATAAAAGTTTTGGAATTCTTGAATTTGGCTATTACTATATTGTCATGCTTATAACCTGATAATTGTCTTCTAAACACTGATAAACCAGTGTTTAGAAGACAATTATCAAGAATGCAATTTCAGTGTTTAGAAGACAATTATCAAGAATTTCAAAGACAATTTGAAAGAATGCAGATTAAACAATGGAGTGGGTTACATGTAATTTTAGATTGTGATTGCAAATTAGTGCCAAAGGAGCAAATATGGCTGCTTTTATAAGTATGTGATATATATTATTACTGGTTATACATGCAAATACAGTATTTTATTTTTTAATTTATATTTTAAATATAAATTTTTTTAATACTTATTTTATTGACCACACTTTAGGTACCAAATTTATATATTCTATTAACTAATTTTTAATGGATTCAATGTGTTATAATAAATACAGTGGTACCTCAGGATACAAAATTAATCCGTTTCGAAACTGAGATCGTATCACAAAAATGTCGTAAGGTGAATCATTTTTCCCCATACAATTACATGTAAAACCAAATAATTTGTTCCAACACGAAAAAAACACTCAAATTAAAGATAAATAGTACATTAAAAAAAATAACTATAGTAAGGAAAACACTGAAAAATGCATTTTGTAGTTGTAAATGTACAAATAACCATAATAGAATAATAATTGATAAAAAAAAATGTAGTTTTATTTGCACTTTACCTTTGAAGATAGATGACGATGGAGGTGTAAACTGGTGGCGGGAGAAGGGAAATGATACTAAAATTTAACTTACATAGCATAATGTAACAATAACTTAAAAATAACTTAGAAAAGATAAAAAAAATTAGTGTTGTTTTATATATATATATATTTTGTTTTTTTAATTTTTATTCACTGCTTTTTTCTTTCTTTCCTTCACTTCCACCAGCACTTTCACTGGATAGAGGTCGCTTGGTAAAATATCTATCCAAAGAGATTTGGCTTTGCCTACTTTTTAAAATGTTTCTAAAATGACTTAGGCAAATGTCATTACTTTGAGCAGCAATACAGCTAGTGTGAACCTTTTTGGGATGTTTCTTTTCAATAAAATCAGTCACTTTTAATACCTCAAGATTTCCTTTATCGAGCAAGATTCTTCCACAACGAAGCAAACATGTGGACTGAGACCAATGAACAGAAGTGAATAAAAAATGGTGCTGCGAACTAATGTAACATCGTATGGTGAGTTTTTGTTCGTATTGTGGAGCAAAAATATGTTTGAATTTCATGTTGTATCCTGAAAATTTCATATGCTGGAGCATTCATATCCTGAGGTACCATGTAATATGTTGTTTAATTGCTTTCTGAGATAAAGAAAACAAATTATATTTACAAAAAAATTTTTATTTTATAAACTTTTGCTATGTATTTGTTGTTTATAAAGGAAAAGAAACTTACAATTTATTAAAATATAAATAATATTTATTAAAGTAAATGTTTTGCTAGATTGACTAAAACATTTTTTTTAATTTAATAATTATAATATAGGGTCCTCCTGGACCTAAAGGACCTCAAGGTAGAGATGGTAATCCTGGTATTCCTGGTCCTCAAGGGTTACCTGGACCAAGAGGACCATCTGGAGAAAGTGGCAAAAATGGATTGCCAGGTCCTCCTGGACCTGCAGGACCACCAGGTCCACCAGGTGAATCATTTGGTTATGATGCAGCTGCATTACAAGCTCTTTTAGGAAGTAGACAAGTCAAGGTAAGCAAAAGTGAAGAGGTGCTAATTTATTTGAGTGATATTTTACATTTCATATATATATAAAATATACATATATAAATACACACCTTATGAACAATAATAATAATTAATTGATTTTTTAAATCACATTATTTATTTAACTTATTTATTAAGTTAATAAAAGTTTTCATTTGATCTTGAATAAAAAGTTTTCAATAATATTTTAATTTATGTCTAAAATTTTAATTAAAACACTAAATAATTTATTAATTCAGGGACCAGATCCTATACTTGGAGATGAACCATTACAACTGTTTTCTTCTGATACTCCACCAGAAGAGAAAAAACGAATTGTTTTCAAATTTTATGATAAAATGGTAAATGAATATAAAAAGTTTAGAAGACCAACAGGTAAACCAGATGCTCCAGCAAGAACATGCCGTGATCTTTCTGAGATGCAACCAGAGCTTCCAAATGGTAAGGATAATTAAATGAAATTTTTTACCAGCGAGTTTTTTTTCTAATTTAATACTAATTTAGTTATTAGTCTTAATCTATAAATTTTTGTTATTAACTCTTTAAGCTCTGAAATGTAATTTTATTTATGTTTTAGAGACTAAATTGTTTTTATCCCTCAGGCTACAAGGGAAACTTTTATAACAAAACCAAACAACTTATTTATTGGCCAATTTTGTTTTGAATGGATAAGACTGATTTAGGCCAATTTCATGCTTTAAAAGTTAAACTTAATTGGTTTTAAATGTTTTCATTATCAATTTCTTCTACTGTATAAAAATAGAAAGAACATAGAAGTATTAATTTAATATGTGTATTTTAAATTTTTTATATATTATTTTCCATAATAAGGCAAACATTTACATAAGTTAATCTCCAATAAAAATTTAATATGCATTGTTATTGCTATGTTACCTTATATAAATGTATATTTATACTATATGCTATATATTTAATGTGTATTTTGGCTATATATTAAGTGTTAGTTTGAAATTATAAACTTTACTTACAGATAAGATGTGTCATATAAAAGAAGGAATTTGAAAAAAATACAAATTTGAAAAGTTAAAAAGTTATTTTTCAGAATAAGAAATGGAAAGTTATAGTATGGGATAAGATTAGACACACCAGAGAGAAACTGTCTAATAAAATAATTAATAAAAACAAAAAAATATATCCAAATTGAATTTTGAATTGAAAAAGTAGAAAATACACATTTCATGTTTTTTGCTTTCCAAATTTATTTTCATTCATAATTGTTAAGAAGTTATCCTGCTAAGATATAATTATTTTTCATTTACTTCAAATAGTAGTTTGAACTTTTTGATTCAAAGTGAATAAATAAAAAACTATCCCAAATCAGGATTGTGTAAAAGAAAAGAAAGATTTGATTTATCAGCATATTAGCAAAAATAAGGAAGTTTAGGTTAAGCAAGTATTAGAACAAAACAGTTTAGGAATATATTTTATCACTTATTCCAATGGTTCCCAATTAGTGGTACGTGTACCCCCAGGGGTACACGAAATTGCTTGAAAGGGTACGCGCGGCAATCTAAAATCGGTCGATTTAAAATTTAAACACATGAGATTAAGCAATCAAAAAGATAATGGGTGGACCATCAAAAATTTGGCAATTTACAACATGATGTCGAATGCACAAATTCGTTTATTTATAACTAAAAATATTCTCGAAATTTCATCAAAAAAATGCATTTATGACAATACCTAAATGAAATTCTTACGCAAGAAACAAAAATTGTACAATTAACGCAATTTGTGTTAATTGTACAATTATCATTATTATCATGTTAGCGAAGTGGCAATAAAATATTTACTACCATTTTGCACAACATACCTCTGAGAGATATTGTCGGCCATGACAAACATGAAAACTAAACATCGTCACTGACTTCAACTCAATGACTCAAGACTGAAGCTGACCAAAAAGCAACCAGATTTTACAAAGTAGTGCAAAGAAAATCGTGCACATTTGTCACATTAAAATTAAATTAAATAACCTTATGTTATTTTCATTATTATTAGAATTGTATTTTAAAGGTAATAAATGTAAAAAAAAACTAATTCTATTTATCACTACCCATAGCTTTGCCTGCATTATATCGAATTTTCGCGTGGGAGTAAGATATTTTCTCGCAGTAAATTGTAGCCTATGTCCATCTCCAACATGTAAGCTATCTCTGTGCCAAATTTTATTAAAACCTGTTCAGTGGTTTAGACGTGAAAAGGTGACAGACAGACAGAATTACCTTTGAATTTATAATATTAGTATGGATTAATTAATTAATATGAATTTCTGCTATAAGGTGTACGTATAAAGTTTGAGCTCTTTCTTGAAGTGGTACGCAGGAAAAAATAATTGGGAACCACTGACTTATTCAATAGCAATGGTATTAGATTTTTGATATTTATAATTGATATTTTTTCATTTAAAAACAGAAGAAAGTCATTATTAATATGAACAATTATTTATTGTGACATATCACAATGCAGGGCCACAATTTTTAATCATCTTTAATTTAAACTAATTTATAATATATGCTCTTGAGTTTATAGTGTCTTATACCTATACATCATACTTTTTCTGATAACAATAGTCATGTTGGTCATCTATCTAACTCCATGCTGAAGAAAAGTTTTGAATTGAAATCATTGATTTTCAATTCAGATTGGAAGTTCATATATTGTTAATCAGGGTCTCTAGCCCCTAAGCTTTCCATAATTGAACTTTATCTATCTAACTCCGTTCTTGAGATTAATGAAAGACAATCAGACAGATGGTGCCATTGGGAATTTATAGATCTGTAGTTTGAAAATTGCAGCCTAATAAATAATGCTTATCTTTTTGGCTTATTCTAAATTATATACAATACTGTTTTAAAAAGAGACTAGTTTTATACCTATTAATTGTTATTATTTCTCTTTACTTAAGTGCAGTTTATATGTATTTTTCAAATTTTGTTAGCAAAATTATCTAAACTTGAAAAGCAAAATTATTAAGAAATGTAGGGAAACTTATTTTTTATTATATAAAAGTTTAATTCCAATTATCAAGGTCCTTATAAATTTTTTATCTTGGAACCCAAGCTAGTTTTTTTAAAAATAGAAGTATTCAATGAGTAGCCATCATAGTCCTTGTAATATTGTACATTTCATAACGAAGTAAAAAGGAATTGCAATATCAGAATTGAATAATAATGACCCTGGATCATTTACAATCAAATTTTTTTTTTTTAGGAATTTATTGGATAGATCCTAATCAGGGAACAAGCAAAGATGCCATTGAAGTTTATTGTGATATGGAGAATAAAGCTACATGCCTGTATCCTATATCTAATGAAGTAAGTATATTTACAATAAAATATATTAATTCTAATAGTTAATAAATATGTATATAACAAAAATTTATTTTATTAAATAAAAATAGAATTTATTATATAAATATTCAAACATTATTTTTTTTTAAATAGATTCCCAAAAAATCATATTACAAAGGAAGAAGTGTGTATACCTGGTTTAGTGAAATGAATGATGGTTTTACGGTGAGCTGTCATTTTTTAATTTTAATGATGCATGTATAAAAGTAGTTGAATTATATAGTTTCATGAAAATATATTTAAATCATTTAATTTTTTCTTCATAACTACAATATTTTCTTATTTATAATCAATTTTATCATAAATTTGCTAAGGTTTCTTTAATATATGTATTGATTTGATTCTGATAGTATTACTTTTGTTAATATATTAAACAATGCAATGCTAATTTGCAATTTTTTTTAATTTTTAGAATGAGAAAAAATATAATTTGAAATTTATAACATAGCATAATTTGTTTAATACTTACTCTAAATAAATAGAGACATACATGTGGAATTATCACACCAGTGAATGAGATTAATTCACAAATTCTTTAATGATTATTAACACTTAATAAAAATAAAATATGGCTCTTTTAACATGTACATAATAAAGAACACTCAAAATGCATTTTGGACACAACAAATAGCCCCTCTTAGGTTGGTATTCATACATCAATAAACATTATAAAATAAATTATAAAATACATTAAAAGGCCATTGTAAACATGATGACTTCACAAATATCACAGGTGATATCTCAACAAGTATAATAATTTCACAATTTGGCCTTTTAATGTATTTTTAATTTATTTTATAATGTTTATTGATGTATGAATACCAACCTAAGATGGACTATTTATTGTGTCTGGAATACATTTTGAGTGTTCTTTATTATGTACATGTTAAAACACCTTTATTAAGGTATTAATAATTATTAAAGAATTTGTGAATTAATCTCATTCACTGGTTTGATAAGCCTGTATGTGTCTATTTATTTAGATTAAGTGCTATATTGCTTTTAGCCCTTAATACTATTTAATATTCCATTGTAGCATAATTTGTGTTATAATGATACTAAATATTTAAACTATTGAAATATTATTAACTAACTAGACAATGTAAATAATTATAAAAATGATTGAAAAATATGTAAAGCAACTATTCAATTGTGTACAAAATTGACAGTGACAATTTAATTAATAACAATTTGCAAACTACAAAAATGCATAAATACATATATTCATTTGGTAAAATTTGTTTGTTATGTTTGAGTTATATTGCAGTCAGAACAATCAAAAGTTATATTTAACTTATTAAATTAAAATTTTTACATATAACGTGAAAAGGTGACAGACAGACAGAATTACCTTTGAATTTATAATATTAGTATGGATTAATTAATTAATATGAATTTCTGCTATAAGGTGTACGTATAAAGTTTGAGCTCTTTCTTGAAGTGGTACGCAGGAAAAAATAATTGGGAACCACTGACTTATTCAATAGCAATGGTATTAGATTTTTGATATTTATAATTGATATTTTTTCATTTAAAAACAGAAGAAAGTCATTATTAATATGAACAATTATTTATTGTGACATATCACAATGCAGGGCCACAATTTTTAATCATCTTTAATTTAAACTAATTTATAATATANTATAATTTGATAGTTATCATTAAATACTTATAGTTTGATAGCAAAATAGATTAGGATAGGATATAAGTACTTAAATGGCAACTGCCAAATTTGTAAAGCATTATGTATTATTATGTTAACACACTTTATAAGTCTATATTTGAGAAAATCATTTGGTATTAAGCATTTGGCAATAAGGTATTTTCTTATTGTTCTTGGCAGATTCAGGTTTAAATCCAAGCTTTTGATTAGAAGTGGTTTTTAATCCTTCACTTTATTTCAAGATTGCGTCAATTGATACAGTATTGCTTATAATAGGCTGGACTGTGATTAGTCATTTAACTCATTCAATTCTGTTCATTAATGTTATGTACTTGTGTTATATATTGCAATATTAATCAGTCAGTCATTTGCATTATAGTATTTCAAGAAACTGATTTTTAAAAAAATCTAAAATAATCATATCAAGATATTAGAAAAGAAAAACACTAGCAATATTTTTTTTATGATTTATCAGTATAAATGATGTCAATAAAGTAGCATTTGCCTTGGCTCAGTGTTCATTTTACCATTACAGCCAAAATAAACTTCTGGATATTGATTCTTATGCAAGTTCTAATAATAATTTAATAAAACATAAAAATATAGAAGATACAGAAAGTCTTCAAACATCTTTCATTTGTTTTTTAGTAATGGCAATGTCACTAGAGGATGTTTAAACCAATTTGCATTATTGCAGAGGCATTATTAGCCTCCATAAAAAAAGTCCTCTCTGTAGATGAAGATTGTGTCACTAGTGATTAAGACAAATGTTTGAACATTTTCTGTATCTTTCTACATTTTTATGTTTTATTAAATGTAAATACCATTGAGCATCTTCAAATGTTCTAATAGTAATCTTTGTCATATCCATATACTTGTTAAATAATTTAAAATTTTCAGATTAAATTATAAAGGTTATCTAAAATTAATGTAACTTATTAAATGTAGATGTAATTTGGATAATCTTGCATCCAAATGTAAAGAAAAATATTTTAGAATTTTGAAAAACACAAAAACAATTTTTATAAGATAATCAATAAGTTTCTTACATATTACTGTTTATCTTAATCTGCACGTGGCATTATATCATAAAATTAATGTTAATATATTCTTAAATTTTTCTTATAGATAATATTTTATAACAGATAAAAAAATTTGTTAGAAATTTTATTGTAAATATGATAAATGTCATTATTTATTTTCATATTTACTCTTATTTTGTATGTTATTTTAAATGTTTTTTTTAGATCAAAAAGCTGCTTAATAATTTATAGGTTAATCATATTGTTTTAGTAATAGGCCAACATTTTTGTTTTCAAAATGCATTATATAATAACAGCATTCATTTCAAGTAGTTTTGAAAATGCTTTAAATTTGTTTAATAGTTCACTCATAATCATGCATACAAATATATATATATATATACATGCATGTATATTTTATATTTATTAAATATATGTCCAATAAATTAAAAAATAATAGATATTAATAACTGAATTTAAAATTCCAGTTTTCGTACAAATGTGATCAATTCCAACTTGGATTTTTACAAATGTTAAGCCACGAAGCAGTTCAAAATATTACATATCATTGCCGAAATTCCATCGCATACTATGATTCCAACAACAAATTTTACCGAAGAGCAGTAAAATTAATGGCCTACAATGATGTAGAATTAATTGCTGAAGGAAACAAAATGTTCACATACTCAGTATTAGAAGATGGATGTCAGGTAATTTAAGAAAATTCTCTAGTTTATTTAATACAGGATATATTACTAAAGTTTCTAATTTTTAACTGAAATTAAATTTATTAATATAGTATCGTAGCAATGAATGGGCTCAAACAGTTTTCCAATACAAGACAAAGAAACCTCAACGTTTACCAATAGTAGATATAGCACCACGTGATATAGGTTCTAAGAACCAAGAGTTTGGATTAGAACTGGGTCCTGTTTGCTTCTCTTAATATCTGAGAGAACAAAAAAAAAACTTTAGCAAAACAATTTCAGATGGAGCTTCAACTCAAAAAATTTAATGTGAATAAATGATTATTTTCACTTTCATTTTCTGCTGAAAATATGGAAAACTAACGATGAAGATGATAGCTTAATACTTCAAAAGTATTAAAATGTTGAAGCAAAATACATTCTTACTAAAGTGTTTGTTTGATCCACTTGATAAGTTTTAGTTTATGTTTTATGTTCAGGTTAAATAATGATGAAAATCCATTTGAAATCATCACTGCCAATTTTCTATGTACAGCTTGTGTTTTTTATCTAGTCGAAAGAGTTACAATGTTTTATTTATGTGTTTGTCATGTATAACAATTGTTTCCTGCACTGCCATTCTTGATTACAAATAAAATTATTTTAAATTACTTATATTCATTTTTTAATATTATTTATACATATTACCCATAAGATTTTACATTTAAAATAATCTATAGAAACATGCATAACCACATTTAAACACAATTAAAATTTTAATAAATTTATTATTTTTTTCTTATAAATATTGTAATAACAAAACATATTATAACTATATTTCTTTTTATTAAAGTGCATGAACAGTAAAACACACAATTATAAAATTTCTTTATTAATATAATACAACATTCAATTCATTGTGCATTCAATAGATGTCAGATTAAACAAGGCAGTGATTTGTGATATTGATTATACTATTAAACATCTGTTTGCAATAAAGAGACATTCACAACTGATCATTCTGTTTCAGCAATTTATATGATGGTTTATGTATATCTGGCAAATATATTTTTTATCCAGAAACCATTTGTGTTATCACAGCCACTGCTTTGATAAGCGCTAGGAATTATTCCTAGATATATGTATATATATTTTTGCAATATCTATATACTGGAACAATTTAAACACTGTGATAAACAAATAACAGTAGTCCATTATAATCACAATGCTTTACACCAATATTTTAACAAAATAAGCATTAATTTTACTCATTTTTCACATTGTTTTATTTAATTTTAGAAATTAATCTTTGTATTAACTATGTAAAATAACTACAACATGCATAATTCTTATTAATGGCAGTTTCTGTGATACACAAAATAATTAAATTTTTAATGACATTTATCTTTTGCAGGGATAATTTTTAAGCAGATGAAGTGCCATTTAAGTGCAATTTTTAATTAATGAATTCTTTATTTTTTTTTATAAACAACATATTTATTGTAAAGTTTAATATATTAAATATTTTCACATAATAAATATTAGAAAATGGTAATTTGTTTTGATTTTTTTGAAGCAATTATCTACTTTTACATTTATATAAATTTTTTCATTAAATTTACTGACTCTCTCACATTTCTAAGAATAATGGTATAAAACTATCACTACAAAATGGAACATTGAAACCATTCATTATTACTTCATTATAATAGTCATATTTACATTTGAGATATATACAATTTATATACATGTTTCGTACTAATTATTTTATATACTTTGTTTTATATTATAATAAAGTATTTTGTTCGTGAGGTTGAAAAATTTTTATAAAAGAATAATAAAATTTTTAAATAAATACAACATTGCTAAGAATCAAATTATAATAATGAAAATAGATTTAATTAAAATTAAAATTTTAAATTATGAAATGGCAATTACTACCAATTCTTTATGAAATTCTCATACATAAAATTTAAAATAATAATAATAATAATGTTCATTATAATAAAGATTTTCTTCTAATAATAAATATTTATAATACAATGAAGCTATACACATATATATATATAAGAAGTTTTCAATTGGAAGTAACTATAGTACAAAATGCAATATAAGACACTTGTACCAGTTTATCATCATTATTATTATTATGGACAGATTTAATTGAGAATATAATTATATTCTATAGCAGTTTACACATTGAAGATCCTTCAACTCTGTTAAATTCATCTGTAAGAAAAAATTTATTTTGTTAGGTAATAGTGCATGATGATAGGTATATTACATAATATATTTAGGTTATATGACTTAATTATTTGATAAAATACTAAAATGATTAGTTATTCTATGTCATAAGCAAATTCGACATCGTACAATGGTTTTTAAGGTACATTTTAAATGATTTTCAATGTTATTAAATATAAACCTTGATATTTGGAACAAATTCAAACCTCTTTCAAAGAATCCAAAATTGTTTAGATAAAAACTTTCAGAACGTTTCATTTCAACTTCAGTGACATAAATTTATATTTATTCTATATTCCAATGAATACATTATTGCTTTAGTAACATTGAAAAATGAAATATTGCAATCAAATTTAAAAAAATGATTAAAGCTCAGTTTGTCCAGCTTTTTTCTTTCATCTCTACAGAACAATTCAAACAATTTTAAACTCCTCCAGAAAGGTTTGACTTATAATCTGAAGTTTTGATAATCATCAATGTATATAATAAAGGTAAGTGTACAATGTGCGTGCCGCTAAAACTCAAAAACGAGTCCCAGTACAATCAAGGGAGTTATATGGTGTGGTAGCCCTCTATTCCCCATCCATGAAGAAGGTTCCCGTTTTTACCTGAAGGGCGTGCTGTTGAAGATATAAGGGCTGGAAGTTTCGCCCTCTAGAAATTTCTAGAACAGTCCAGAACATTCGAGAGCATTCCACAACATTCCAGAATGTTCCGGGATGTACACGGTTAGAGTACCTCACGAGAACGCACACTAAGAAGGGATTTTTCGAACTTCCTCCCCACGGGGGAGAGGGACAGGATTAAGGCTTAACACTTCCATCAACAATGGAAGTGTAAGTAATAATGGAAGTGTTACGTAACAATTGGATTGTTAAGAGAAAGCGACGTGCAAGACGCAGATGCAGTTTTTTCGTTTTTGCGGGAAATCGAACATATTTTTAGACCCATCTAAAAATTCTGTAATTAGTCCGGAAACAGGGGGACCCGATTCTTGCATTCTGTGAAAACGGGTAAGGTTGACTATTACGTAATAATCTTAATCTTCGCTATCGTTACTTTTGCCCGAGCAACGCCGGGCCTACCTGCTAGTGGTTTATAAAAATAAGGAAAAAAGGTATCTGATAAAACAGTTCTGAATCAAATATATAATTCAAAAATAAATAAATCTGAAAACATTTTATAAAATTATATACAGTGGTGCCTCGTACAACGTACTTAATCCGTTCCAGGTGCACGTCCGTTAAGTGAAACGTCCGTTATACGAAACGCATTTTCCCATAGAAATACATGTTAAAACATATAATTCCTTCCGCAGCATAAAATAACCATACTGTACCATAAAAAATGAAAATGGAGCAGACACCAATTATGCCGGGTAGTCAGATGTTGTGAGGAGGAGTGGAAGAACACTTTATTTACACATTCATACAGATACAGGCTTTTTACACATTGCAGCGGGTCTTTTTTATTTTTTTAATCGGAGTCAGATTCAGGAGAGGCTACCAGAACTTGCAGGGTCAACTTCTCTTGTTCCATCCTGTTTTTTGCCCGCTGGCTTCTTGAAAAACATGACCAAGGTGGTCTGTTTCTCTTTCTTCTTTAACACCTGTCGGAAATGACGGACAAAGATGCCATCATAGAGATCATTGATCCTGTTGGCCTCAGCTCTGTTTGGATAATGAGTGTTGGTAAACTCCTGAACCTCTCCCCATTCGATAAGAAAGTTTTTGTCAACTTTCACTCCTGATGATTTCTTGCTTTGTTTCAATTGAAATCACTTTTCTGTTTTTTTTTTTAGAAGCCATGATGCATTATAAATGACTTAACTTGCCAGATTATATGATACGAATAATTCTTTATTAATTAAGATCACTAAACACTTCTACGAGCTACTCTCGCTCCGTTTGTTTTTTACAACCTCTTTTCGTCCCGCCACCTCGGCATCTACACAATTACATTTCGTTTATTTGAATCGTCAACATATACTGTATTACATTACATTTAATGTTTATTTAAATCATCAACATATATTACATTACATTTCTACTTCAGATATACTAATAATACATTCTAATAATACTAATATATCCTAAAAATAGCAGATTGTCATTGGCAACGGCAAAAGAGTGGAAACATCATTCGCACTTGTTCGAAGAAAGTCCATTGTTCGTCTCACGTAACTGCTGAACGAAAAGTCCGTTGTTCGCAGCAAGTCCGTTGCTCGAGTCACGTAACGGTCAAACAGAAAGTCCGTTATTCGCAGCGTCCGTTATTCGAGGCACCACTGTAATGCATTTAATAATACATCGATATTTTTACAGCTAGTTAATTAAATAAGCCAACTTTCTTAAAACATCTGTGCATGATATATTCGTGTTAAGTGAAAATGCTATTTGCAATACTTCTATCAGAGTTAATATGTCAAGTTGCCGATAGCTGGAGCTCGAGTCGCTTTGCGGCGAGAAGTTGATTTATCCATTTGGTTAGTAAGTAGTATTACCATTTTCAAGCATTTTTGTAATTTTTTCTGCGAGAAAAAAACAAGAGAATGCCGAATCAGTGTTTTGTGACGGATGTAAGTCTGGCTACTGCAAATTTGGTGAGAAGTGGCATATTTTTATACAACTTTCGAACCAGTTAGATAAATGGAAACGTATAATTCCTCGAAAAATATCTACAACGCACAAGAAAATCGCGAATTGATTTTTTTATGCATTTTGATGAAAGATTTCTGATAAAGAATTGTGCATATAATTGAGGGTAAAAGAGTTGAGATCCCCTGTGGAAAATGGCAACTAACATGGGCTGCTTATCCTTCGAATTTTTCCAATTGCCGTTATAATTGTCAGTTAAAATTCCAGAACATTAAGTTTGTTTGCAGAATACTAGCTTATCGACTATTATCATCAACCAATTTTTATATGTGAATATATTAAATTAGAAATAAACGTTTTTAATATAATAGCGCAATAATTTTAAATATTTTTTCATTTTTATTTAGTTTTAAGTTGAGATAAGTTTTTAAATATCTCAATTTAAAACTGTTATATTACTACGTATTATGTAAGTAAATTTTGTACATAATTTTCTCTTTCTGTATAGAGTAAATCTGTTTAATAAATAGGTGTATTTACATATTTCTATATTGTATTTCATTGCATATCTGTGACAATAGAATTAGAAAAACTAGAGCTTATCCTCTAATGCATTTAGCAGTCACAGAAATTTAACACAGATAAAGGTAAACTTTATTTTTTATAATTTATTAATTTTAGTATTATATAAAGCGTACAATTTTATTTGATTCAGTAATGATAAACAATATTAGGGATGTCGCACACTTCGAATTGTTGACACATGAAATTGCAGTTTTTATGACATTCACATTGTGCCTACATATTTTAGTACTGTTGTTTATCAGATATTCAGACCATTAAAAGTAAAATATGAATGCAGATTTATATATATCTTGCTTCTATCCTCTTTATCCAGTGCATGGACTGCACAAAATGCATGATGTTTAGTCGATAGTTTTAAAAAACTACCGACTAAACATCAAGGGGAGCCCTTACACTGAGGGAAGTGCTGCTCCCTTTTTGTCTCGGTTGTCCTTTTCCTAATCCCCAAGGGGCCAAAACCACAGAAATTTCATGACTTCTAGCTTATTTTGCAAATATATAAGAAACTAATGAACGAATATTTGTTCATTGACGCAACTTAGTCCATTCCTTGTTTTCAAAGCCAAGTTAGCCGCAAGTTCAACCAGCGCCATCTTGTGAGAGAGCTGATCCAACGTTGGATCATGGAGTTGGAAGTTCTTTGCGTAATGAACAATATATTTTTTTATAGCTTGTACCCCCTTTTCATAGTCTGCGGGCACCGCTGCTAAACATCAATGCCAACATTAGCGTATTGAAAATAAAATTCCCATTTTTTATTTGAAAGATTGAAAAACCATACGTTAAAGGAATCCAACCCTGCAGAATAATAATGCGATTTTGAAAATAATTTTCAATATAACATTAATCATACAGTCAAGACTCGGGTTTCGAATGCCTCGCTTTTCGAACAAAAATCCGAACTCTTTTTTGCCCCGGTTGCCGAACAAGCTACTTGGCAAGAGCCGGTCACAGATTAGAGAGACACAGATACTCAATTCCTTATATTTCCTATGTTAAACAAAAAGTGACGGCCCGATAGGACTACAAATTCAGAAGTCAGTGACGCCGAGATCGCTCGCGTCACGATATGAGTCATTGACGATACAGTATTGCTATTTAAATTACATTTCAATGCGCACGCGGGAAAGATAATATTTCCGTTTTTTGGTATGCGCCATAGTTGAATTTAAGTCTAATTAATTAATTAAAACCGCGTTAATTGACATTTACGTAATATGAATGTCTTCCATGAATGCGGTTAGATTTGGTTATATTTCATGAAGGCAGTCAGAGTTGAGTCTCTATTTATAGCATTTATTTGTAAAGTGTTGGTTTTGGTTTCGGTTGGCGGTAACGGAACATATTGCTTTTAATATACATTATATATTATATTAAGGTTTCTCAAACGGCATCCCGGTTGTTTTCTTAACCCGGGAAATATCCCAGGAAATTCTTCTCCTCACGGGAAATCCCGCAAATTTCTTAAAAGTTCACTTTTTTCTTATTTTGTGTTAAGGTTGAGGAAATTTTGCAAATGGAAAGTATAATTAACTTACAAACTGTCAGAATAGATTTTATTAATTTTAAACCTACTTATTAGTTAGTTTTTTAAATTTTTTTTCGTTATGGCATGTCACAAATGGTCAATAATCAATACGTAGTTTCTTTGTGACAGGACTCTGAAAATTCTTTATTTGTCAGAACCTGTAATATCTGGAATAGTTGTGCTTACTCTGTTTTAATTTTTAACCATGCCCAGTAGGTTCAATAACTGCGTAACGCCAGGTTGTGCAAATTGGCAAGGATACAAACGACTATGAA